TTAAAATCTTCAAGGTTATGTTTCAAAATTCAGTTGTAAAAAGGACATGCATGCGAGACATGGAGGCCACCCACAGGCTTCCACTTTTTTCTAAGTTCTTTGCTTTCATGTTGTTTTTCAGATTTTTCCTCAAGCTTTATATTATGCTAATAAAGCCTGCCTCTGTGGCTGGTATATGGAAACCCAGATACTCAGCATCAAGACCCAAGAGACCAATTCCCTACCACATTTCACACATATAAATCTACAACTTTAGTAACTTGATTGCAACAGTGTTTTGAATTGTACAAGTGCCTGTAGAAAAGATACACCACCCCCGGGGCCAAACTGGCTCACATGGCCCCACAGGAGCCTGATCTTTTCTGCAGGCACTTCAACATTTTAGTTGATTTTCAATGCTTGTTGTGGACAAGGAGAACAGGCAAGAATCAAATCATCACCCAACAACCAAAGCTAGACTTTCTCAGATTGTTACATTCAGCCACTCAAAGGTTGTCTTAACTCTGGATCAATCACATGTTTTGCTATAGGACAATGTATATATTCAAAACAAAAGAGGTGGTGATATTGAAAATGAGGATAGCAATAAGCCTTTGTGGTCTGACTGGTCATGGAATGAGGTACACTCCACACCAAATCACTCCTATTCAGAGGAGGTTGTTATGGTATTGTTTGAAAGATCAGTTGAGTTGATGAGTGTGTTTGGAAGTGGTGGCAATTGAATGGACATAGTAGTTGTATGTATCTTGATTTGAAGGCCACATCCCAGTCCTCAGTGAGTTGTGCTTTTGTGCGCCCTGAGGTTTTCTTAGGACGAGACTCACCGAGTCTACGTGAGCTGTGAGGATTCTCCTCCCAGGCTTGGCTACTCTTACCTCTTTGGGTCAGAGTAGTCATATTGGGGCAGTGGCGAAGCCGGCCTCCAAGTTTTGGTTCACGTGAACCAAAACTCTCACAACGTTGGTTCAAGATAACCAAGAAGTTTGGTTTCTTTGAACCAAGCAACGGGCAAGGTTGGTTTGTGAGAACCAACCCCCGTTGTGGCTAGCTTCTCACCAGTGGGTTGTTGGGTAGGAGAACTTTCATTACCAGGTTTCCTCAAACCTGGGCAATAGCTACGGGTGGGTGGGTGGGATTTTTAAATTTAATTTGACAAGACTACTAAGAAAGAGAGACTGTGTCGGGACTTAGATGATCTATGATCTGTTGGAGCTTGAGGGTATGAGTGGGTTCGTCTGCGGCGAAAAAGATTGCAACAGGATTTTCACAAGTATCCTGGGCACGGGCCGCAGACCCGGGTCACTCATGGCTACCCTTAGCTCCACTAAGTCCCCCTGGGCTTTCGAACCAAGGAGTGCCTCCAGGGTTCTCTCAACCCAGTCCTCAGTGAGTTGCGCTTTTGTGCGCCCTGAGGTTTTCTTAGGACAAGACTCACCGAGTCTACGTGAGCTGTGAGGATTCTCCTCCCAGGCTTGGCTACTCTTACCTCTTTGGGTCAGAGTAGTCATATTGGGGCAGTGGCGAAGCCGGCCTCCAAGTTTTGGTTCACGTGAACCAAAACTCTCACAACGTTGGTTCAAGATAACCAAGAAGTTTGGTTTCTTTGAACCAAGCGACGGGCAAGGTTGGTTTGTGAGAACCAACCCCCGTTGTGGCTAGCTTCTACCCCTGAACTTCCCCATGAGGCCTAGGACTCCTCCTCCTAGCCGACGAGGGGGGGGTGCTCGGCGCCTAGCCTCCTAGGGCTCATCCCCAAACGCAGAGCACGCGACTGATGCTCAGTCCTCACATTTCAACTGAGATAGAGTTCACCGAAGATCTCCGCTGTCTGTATTTCATTCAGTTCTCTAATAAGGTTTTGCCTTGGCTTCTCCTTACGCTGTCGATCGATTTCTGCAACCCCCGTGTCTTTCATGCTACCGTCCTTTCGTCCAGAGCTTCCAACAACGTTACCGCTTCTTTCAACTGATCTCCCGTATAACCCTTGAAATATCTCAGGTAGGCTAAAGATTTCCACCTCCCCTGTCTAGCTATTACCGCAACCGGAGTCCCCAAATTATAACGTAAGGACGCTCCCCCTACTCTAAAGGAATGACCTGACCAATTTTCAATCCCGCTTTTCCCCCAAACTCCTTCCACCACTTTTACGAATTTCTTCTTACTCAATGGGGTGACGCCGCCTGGGCCCGAAAACGAAAACAGTATGTCGTCTTTGTCTGCCAAATGATTTGATCGCATGATACGTTCCACTGCCGAGACCGGGTCGAGGACGTTAAATTGTTGTTGAAGGTGAATGATCTGAACTTCTCCTGCCTTTGCTGTCTTAGCCTTCCTCAGATGAAGTTTCACGAATCTGACTCCTCTCTTTTCTCCAAATTCTACTTGGTTTCGCAGAATAGCACCATCTTGCTTCTTTGTGCGGAGCAATTCGCCCAGCCTCGTCATCCCCCAGAAAGCGACCAAGGCCACCGTTCCGGTCAACGTCTCTTCTTTAAATTTCCCATAGGTCTCTTTGAATAACTTAAATAATTGACTTAACAGGACCGGTTTCTTTTGTGTCACCAGTTCCCGCTCCTCTTCATTCCTCTTGGTGGCGTTTATCAGCAGGGAGACGACTTCTTTGTCTGCGGTAGGTCTCGAGGTGTGTCGCACTATGTGCCATGCCCTTATTCCGTCCAAATACTTCTTTATCGTAACCGCTGAAATCACTCTCGCCGGTCCGTTCACTTTCTCAGCTTTTGATTCACCTGCCCAGCTCACGAATTCGTAAATGTCTTCGTCGGTTATTGGCTGATCTTCTTCAAAACCTCTGCTGGTCTTCTCCTTGAATTCGATAAATTTGGACATCCCACTAGAATAGCCTCCGAGGGTTCCTTTTGCCCAGCCGCTTGACGCTGTGTGTTTGCCGGCGACCGACGCTTTCGACCTTGCCGCCTCAAAGTGTTTTGGGAGGTGTGTCCCGTCAGCTGGTCCTCCTTCTTGTCTCCTGTTGGGCATTGACTGTTCGAGGTTATCAGGGCTTGGGAGGTGCCTGGTGCAGGTGTTTATGGGTATAATGGGTTGAACGCGGGCAGGGAGTTCTCAGGGCAGTGTTTTTCTTTATTCTTGGATTACAAATGGGATCAGATTGGACGGGACTCTAACTAATACAACTCTTGATACATGTTTAGATGAGTCGAATCCTCTCGACAGCAGATCTGCTGCGTTATCTTCCGACCTCACTCTCTTCTGTCTAATAGAACAGTTCATGCGGAGCATCTCGTCTTGTATTTTAATCCATTCTCTGTTCACCCACCTATTCTTCGACTTCCCATTCCGTATCGCGCCCTCAGTCACGACATTGTCCGTTAAACATAAAAATTCTTTACCTCTCACTGACATCAGTGAGGACACCATCAATAGGCCTAAGCGAACCGCGACGGTTTCCGCCCACGCGATGTCTCGCACGGAACTGTCCTCTTTGTGTGAGTCGCTATCCCATCCTGCACACAGCCTAAATCTGGCCCAATGCTTACCCACGATTATTCCTATACCATAGCTTGTTGATGCATCCCCCACCCAGCCAATGTTCACCACCTCGGGCCAGGGGATCATTCTCCTCGGGTCTGCCGTTTGTAGGACTCTACTCCAAATAGCCATGTCTTCTACTACCTCTTCCGGCATGTCTCGTGCTGCAAACCGATGGACCCATTCCGACATCCACCGGTACAACGCCATGCAATGGCACTGGAGTTGAGGATATACTAGCGAAGCGTGCATCAAGGGGCCGACCATTTTTTCTGTCTCTTTGTATGTCGCCTTCCTTCCTTCTATGAATTCCTTTATCTGCTCCAGCCTCATCTTTATTTTCTCATCGGGGATTCTAACCGTTTTTTCCTTCCCATCCCATATCAGGCCCAAATACTTCTGCACATGATTAAATTCGCTCCACTTCTTTTCGTTCGTTACCACTCCCATCCGTTCACTGGCTTCGGCCACGTCCTTCATCGATGCACTGTTCAACCCGTCATCTGCCTTGATGAAGAGAGTGTCGTCCACCCACCTGAAACCTGCCTCAAATTTAAACTTGGACATCATCGCCAACTTCCATGCGTCCGCGGCTTGCCCGAATGTGCCACATCCGGCTACCCCCCCAAACGTCACCCGAGTATCTAACAGTATATTGCCATCTAGGTCGAGAACCATCAGGTATGGCCACTGTGATTGTTTTGTAGGGATCTGGCGGTACGCTTTTGACCAGTCGAAGATACCTAGCAGCAATGTACCTTTGCTACTGATCATGAACCTCGCCACCTTCGCAAAGTCGTCCCATGACGTCTTAAAATCGTCCTTGTCTACCAAGGCGTTTACCGAATTGATGTAGGTATCTCGACGTGGGAATGAGAGATCGTTGATAGGTCTCACCGACCCATCGCCGTTCACTACCGCACCCAAAGGATTCGTGCGAAAGAATCCCAGTTTCTGAAACACTTCTTCCTTCGAGAATGGGCCAAACATTTGGCCGGCCTTTAATTCGTTCGTCAAGTTCTCTCTCACTTCTTTCTCCGCTTCTTTAACTGACTCGTGGTTATTTGGGCAGAAATATCGTAACCCGTGTATTGGTTTCTCAGGTATACCCTGGTCGAAACCGTTCTTGAACCCCTCTAGGATGTAGGAGTGCGTCTCCAACAGGTCTGCGTCTCTTAGTTCTCGTCGCCATACCTCCAGCTGCATCTCACATGTCACAATTCTAGGCCAATTCTTCGGGTTTGGTCTTATCTCTATGTGTTTGACGCGTTGTTCTTTGCGACTTACGGGTAGATGCAGCTCACAAGTTGGCAGGGGGGGACGGGGGAGGTCTGGAGAGCTGCGGCAAATTCAGCAAATCAAGGAAATAGTCAGGACCTTTGGACTTTCCGGAAACTTCTCTTTTGTACTTGGTGTGTACTGATAGGTGCGTCTTATGATTCATTTCACATCTGTTGGACTACCACTCCTATGGACTTGGGACAACATACTCACTAGTATCTCGGACGGCCTCCTCTGCCATTGGACCTTCTGTTATCGTAGCGATTTGGGCTCCGACTACCACTTCTCCCCCACTTATTTTCTCTTCTATCACTTCCTCTTCCTCGGTCTCCATAGTCGGGTCTCTTGCTTGGTCCTTCTTTCTTTTCCACCCACTTCCCTTCTGCTCTCAGCTTGGCTTCCCACTGGTCGTTGGGTAACCATGACTTCCTCTTGCCACCCGAGGAACTTTCTTCCGCCTTCACCGACGTGCTCGATGCCTTCTTTGACATACCGCCCCCGTGTTTCACTCTCGGCAGGCCAGACTCCGGGTCTAAGTGATCTTTGGTACCACCCGGTGCGTATGGGTTCGATCTGAGAGCTCTTTCTCCGAAGTTATCGCACACTTGTTTCACTTCTTCTAGGATTGTCCTCTGTACTTCAGACACATTGACAATTTCTCCTCCTACGTCCGTCCTCATTACCCCTTCGCGCACTCTCTTACAGTAGCGCAGTGCTACCATCCAGCCATTCGTCTCCCGGAGCTCTACCACTATCTCCTTGTGGATTTTTAAGTTTTCAGCTAACGTAATCCAACCCGCATCCTGAATGTACCTTGAGAAAAGGGTGAAGCAGTCCAGCCAATGCTTGTACTGCATCGTTAACTCCTCCATGGGTGGGTCGCCTCCGTACATCCTCAGGTTCAAGCCGCTCTTGTTTAATTTCGACTCTGAGGGCGGTTCTGTCCCCTCCCGTGCTTGCTGATCACGAATCAGCCACAATTTGTCGAAAACTGGCAATGGGACGTATGCCTTGAAAGTTCGTAGATAGTGTGACAGTACCGGGCTCAGGGAAGGTAGGGACTTTTCCAGCTGCTTAGTCTTGTCTTTCAACATTAACCTCCCATTTTCTATCACATCCCCGTTAGACAGGATCATCCGGCCTTTGCCCGATTCCAGCATGGCCTTCGCTCTACTTGCTTCGTCCGTATTTGTTTGTGGCGTGGCAGTCGTTTCTCTCACCGGTTTGGGCTCCCCAATGGTCGCTGGTGAATGGCTCCGACGCTCGCCGTTGTACCTCCATGTTGGAGGTGGCTCTGGTTGTGCAACTACAACCCTAGGTTCCGTCACTCGTGGTTCTTGTCTCGCGCTCATCGAGAACTCGGACAGGTTTTCTTGTATCAGGCGATGAGGTGTGGTTTTTCTTTCATGTTGACGATTGGGAACGAGGGTTGGAGCTGGCGGTTCGACGTCGTTTCTCGGTGCCGGAGCATAGTGTCTAGCCGTCTCTTCGGTGATCATCTCCGTGAGTTTCGCTAGAAGGTCCGCTCCTAGCGCGTAATCTCTTCTTACATATGCATCGTCTATCCTAGCTTGTAGCATCAGGATCCGGTCGCCATGAGCTGTTACAGTTGAGAATCAACACAGTACCGTAAGTATCACAAACTCTCTTTATCGATCTCGTATACGCTTTCAGCAACACACGCTTCTAAGCAACACTCTCAGCAACACCTGCTTCGTAGCAACACCTATTAGCAGCCGGGACAGCTTGCCCTGGGTCATTCAACAGGGTCTTACGTACGTGGACTTAAGGTACTGCCACTCATATCATCTTATTCGACTTATATGTCTTTTAGTAGTGTTTTTGATATTGAAACTCGTTTGTGTTTGAAGTATCTTCCATAGGTGTATAATGAGAGGCAAGGAGGCAGTGTGTTCGATGGAAAAAAAGGGGGGGAACAACAGAAAGGAGTGGCTAAGATGGGAATGTTAAGTAAATGAACTTACTAAGATCCATGTCCCCTTCTACCAAGCTCTCCTCTTCATCTGTAGGCGTATCCTCCCTCAATCCTTTCTCCCTCCCTGCGTGTTTGTGAGGTTGCCACGTGTCATCCTCAGTCTCTGACCTGAGATCCATTTCTAGGATCGCAACATCATCTAGGTCCTCTTCCCCTTCTTCAACCACGGTTTCGAGCTGGTTCGCCGTAGGCCCACTCTGATGGTTGGCATCCGTTTGTTCGGCGAGGACTCCGCCGGTGTTACCTTCTTGACCTTCTGCTTGAGCCGTGTTGGTCTGACTGGGGCCACCTTCTGGGCCGGATGTTGATGCGTTCGCTGCTGACATCGCTCAAGTCACCCTTGCCAAATTCGCCTCTGCCATCGCTAATCTGTCCTCCATAGACTTGTCCATCTGTTCGATCTTTCTGAGCCTTGTGTTTTGTAAATATAATCTGTTAATTTTCTTGATGTCTGATATTATGATTATCCTTGCAACTTGGATTTTCCCACAGATTAAAGATTGAGATGCTTTTTAAATTTAATTTGACAAGACTACTAAGAAAGAGAGACTGTGTCGGGACTTAGATGATCTATGATCTGTTGGAGCTTGAGGGTATGAGTGGGTTCGTCTGCGGCGAAAAAGATTGCAACAGAATTTTCACAAGTATCCTGGGCACGGGCCGCAGACCCGGGTCACTCATGGCTACCCTTAGCTCCACTAAGTCCCCCTGGGCTTTCGAACCAAGGAGTGCCTCCAGGGTTCTCTCAAGGAATCCTGTATTAGCAAAACTTCAAACTTGTATCCAAAGAAAATCTTGTTGCAGGCTGGATATATATAGTTTGAAAACAAACAAACAAAAAAAAATCCTCACTTTGAGTACATGAAATTCCTCATTGGCCCCAACATAATCATCTCACAAGGTTTTTTCTTGTAAGATTTTATTTTTGAAAAAATTAATCCCAATTTTTTTTAAAAACAGTATTATAAATATTTATTAACCAACTCTTATTTCAAAAAACAAAATCAGATCCAGAAAAACCAAATAAAAAGCCTAACCCATCTAACTTTCAAAAACCCCTTCACACTTACTAAGTTTTGATGTGTCAGTGGTCACTACCACACAAGAACTGCCTCACCAACTCCAACTTCCTACAAGTTTTTTGTATGTAACTGATAAATCCTCATACAGTCAAACCTGCGCTAATGCATAAATTGGGGAGACAATTTTTGCTACACCACGGGGGCAGCCTGACCGCCGATTGGTCATCCTCGCAGGCCACCACCAGACGGTCGCTCTGTGCGGAGTGACTGACCACCAGCAGGTAGTCAGTTTGGCGACGACCAAGTGCCGAACTTTAAGTTGCCTGACAGCTCAGCACGCAGGCACCTTTGCATCGCCAAAAGTGTAGGTGTGCGCGATCTGCAGGTGGCCTGCAGACCACTTTGACCACCCGCAGGCCACCAGCTCGGAGCAGCCATTCAATTGGAACTGTCTGGATTGGAATCGGGCGGGGCACGGGCACGGGCTGCTCTGATTCAAAAATGGGCATAAATAGCATAAAGCACAGTGCATTACTAGGCGGTGGCATGATCAAGAGTGGCAGTTATTAGAAGAACAGCTTGTATATAATGATAACAAACAACAGGAATGATTGAATTACATGAAAACATTTTAAATGAAAAAGAAGATCAATATCATGGTCATCAGTGACCTCCTCACAATGATTTGTGATCTATGAGGATAAGAGTTTGGTCAGAAGATCATCAGTCTTGATGGAAAATCAACCACTTACCCAATAGATGAGTCTCTTGATGTTTGTGATTGTGCTCTCAGCCGGAATGTTTGGCTCGCGTGGGTTGCTCAGGAGTTTGATTCGCTCAAGGTTCAAGCAGGTGATCTTTGAGCTGTTCCACCTTTTTGGTCACTCGGTCCAGCTTGTTAGACAAGGTATTGTGCTGTTCAACACTGTTGTTTAGACATATTTTCTTCATCGAGCTTGTCAGAGAGATTGGCAATATCCAAGTCATTCTTTTCTGACAACCTTGCGATCACATCCAAAATCTTTTCAGTTGAAACTGAAATGCTCTTGCAAGCAGTCGCACTCGTGTCGTCGTCCTAAATAGCCAACACAAACGAGTAATCAGTAAATGATAGTCAATGAGAGTTGAACTAAAGAGAGAAGAAGAACGAGGCTGACCCCTGAACACCAGCACTGGTGTTATTAGAACTCATGGGACCCGCATTCGGGCTACCTCCATTATAAACTGTAATAAGGATGCCAGTAAAACAACCTGGATGCGTGAAAGCAAAAGATCACTTGCCTGATGAGACTCCGACACTTTGGCGAGTTGTGCTACCACGGACGGACCGACGTGTGGTGCGCCAAGAGCGTGGCAGACATAGTGTTGATTCGATCTGAATGGATAGATTGATAAATTATCATCCTGAAAGATTGAGAGAGAAAGGGTTTGAGAGAAAAAATGTTTGAAAGGGGAGTGCTAACTCATGGACGGAGTTGACAACCTATGAGGTCCCACCGCGTGTGATTGTTGAGACAACATTACAAATGAAGTTGACTGAGGTGAAGGTAATTGAGAGACCTTCAAAACTGTGAAGGTGACTGAAGACGTTGGAAATTATTTGAAAAATGACAACTCAAACTTGGAGATGGTGCTTGGGGGGGAACCAAACAAGTGGGCATTTTATCTCATGTCACCACGCGAGAAAGACCTGACCCCTGGGGGAGGACAGGGGAGGACGCAACACACAAAAAGATTGTACGCAGGGGTGAGCAAAGTCTCTCTTGCCCACGCGGTTATTTGGCTCAGCAGTCAGTTTTGTGAAGGTACCGCGGGATACTGACTGCTGACCAAAAAGGCCGCCTATGGGCTTGCAGGGTGCGCCCACAAGTCGCGCTGTAGGCTGTTTTGAGCTCACACAGGGGCGGCCGGGGGCGGCCACCATGAGGTGGCCGTTGGTCTACCCAGGGACGAGCTTCGGGTTGGATTGCAACCTGACGTTTTTCAGACTGGTTAGGACCAATTTCCGACCCAGGATCCCCCCGTGGTGTATGCATTATTGCGGGTTATGCATATAGGCATAAACCCCCATAATGCATATTTGTATGCATTTAGGCCTAAATGCATTGAAATATGCATTATGACAGGTTTTTGTTGAAATTGTGTAAGTTTATGCAATAGTACGTTTGTATTTTGCACGGGTACAAGGACAAGATATCTTTTCAACACAGAAAAAAACACCACTAGGGGTCGGTTTGACCCCATAGAGGGCTCATTGCTGCCTGATGTTGCCAAAATTGTCAACCGCGAGAGTTCTGCGGAGCAGAACCCCGAGCGTATCGACAAAATAACACATAATAAACATTAAAACCCACAACTCTATCACTCTAGTTTCAAGAGTGTACAAATTATAAAAACAAAAATACAACAATTGGAAAAAAAAACGAGAAAAGGGAAAGTAAGGGTCTTAGAAATGATGACATCATTTCAAAGACCCTAGAAACTAACCCTTAATCAAAATCCACATTATTAGAATACCAAGGGAGCAACAAACCCCAACAACTAGATCAGTTCGAGACCAGTCTAGTCGTGACAAATTATCACCAAGCAGAAACCCAGATATAAAAAGAGCTCTCTCAAAGCACTAAGAAAAGGAGAATCATCCGTTACCACTTTTACCAACTTTTAAACCCAATTAGAAACTAGAATACTTACATTTACTAAGAACCATTCTACTTCCTGCTCTCTCAAAAACTATAGTCACTCTCGAAGAAAGACCTCTTTAGAAACATATCCTTTAGACTCTTTAAGCTCTCGAACCAGTTACTCTTGTTTTCGTTTCACTTGTTTCTCTTTTATATTCCTTACTTTCAACGACCTACAGAACCGTTAAAGATCGTGTAGTACTGCCTACTTGACTAATGCTTCTATACTCCGTCCTCTTTTCGATAAAACCAAGTTTTATAGGACTACTGCTCAAGCACGCCCAAAGCTAGTTTACCTCACGGTATCCACTTTGGTAGAACTATCTGTTGATAATTTGAAACACAGATTTGTTACAATTTATACTAGTCTGAGAAACGATTCACCTATCACGAAGATTCAAAAATTAAGTGCAAAGGTTTACTCATCTTATTCCGATGCATAAAACACATTTTGTGAGTAATTATTCACCTAAGCCTGACAACTTTTAAGACTTAGGTTGACAAAAATCCTACTTGCAAAGGATTCAATCAGAGTTCAATGGAAAAACAAACACATCCTGGGGCGCTTTGTAGGTATGCATTACAGTTGCTCCAGTCTAGTCACGACCAGAGCCTGGCCCCGGCCCCGGCCCCGGGACCCAAATGTTAGGGGTCCCAGTAATACCCAAAAAAGTTTTTCGCCGAGGTTTTTTATTGGCAAAGTTTGTCTTTCTCCGTTCTACACTCATCCTTTCCACCCTTTTCCCTACATACATACATACATACATATCCCCGCTTTCCTTTCATTTATGCACTCATCATCGATATGGCCAAGAAGAGCAAAGCTTCACGATCTCAATCACGACGTTGGAAGAACATTCGCACGGCCAAACTCCGTAACATTGTGGTCATCTCCGATACGGAAGATCAACAAATCACTGTCGATTCTGATGTTCAACTCACTTTAAACAAAGCCCCTGTTCCAGAGAATTTCCCAACTCGAATTTCAAACATGAATCACCTCGACGAGTCTGATTCTGAAGTCGAGCATTCTCAAACCCCCCAGCCTCCTCATTCAGCTATACTTCAACCATCCGAGTTCTACTGGATGCCGATTGATCCTAATTATTTAACTGAGGAGGATAAGATGGATCCTTTAGACATCTCACTCTACGCTCAAGCCAATATCGCCGATTCTTCTGACGACGAAGCTTGTGATAATGAACTCGTCAATGATGCTTTATTCCCAGTTTTTACTCGCCCTTTCATTGATCCACCAACTCTCGGTAAACGCAAAACCAAGGAAGGTCTTATCCTCAAAGGCTATAAGAGGCCATGTGCTCAGATTACCTCAAATAAACTTGTACCACGAAAGATACCAAAAGAAACACGACAACAATATAAAATCAACGGAGAAAAGGCTCTCGGCAAGTCGAACAACATGCTTGACTGCTGGATTATTCATCATCCAACTCCAGCTCTTGTCACATCCCCCGGATTAACTTCATCTGATACCTTTGAAACCTTTGATAACGACAATCCTAACAATGGAAATGTCTCATCTGAATCAAATGATAACAACTTCATTGATGATCAAAATGAAAAAGAAAACGAAATTGAAATTGAAAATCAAAATGAAAA